ACACTTAAACTATGCAGACATATGCAGTCTTAACCATAAAGGTTAAACACGCACTAATCATCCTTAGTGGGAATCGAACTCACAAGTTGCTGCACCACGATGCTTAACCACTTGAGCCAGTTACCATAACTCATAAGTTAGCGCAAGCATTGGCTACAGCAGCATACTTAACAGAACTCACAACTTGTCGTTTAGCATTAAGGTGCTAAACCACTTGAGCCAATTACCATACCTCATAAGTCGGCGCAAGCATTGGTTACAGCAGCATAACTAACAAGAGTAAGTGCAATTTCTCAAAGAGACAGTGAAGGAAGAGGTAAATTGGGAATTATTCAGAATGTTTTTGGCCGACACGCAAAAGATGTATGCCTTCTGGCATAAGCTAGGTGATAAGACTGACGGTTGCGTTTGATGAATAAGAAAATGATATAAATCAAGTGTTTTCACTCAGAGTGGCTTTCGAGATGATGATCGAGCGGAGTTCTTCCAAACGGCTCTTGAGGATAAAGAAAAGTTGGAGAAATTTGTAAATGCATTGAAGAAAAATGTATTGGCAAATATTTTCAAATCGATACTCCAAGATGAAGAGAAAAAGAGTTGGCTTAACTCAGCTGTTGCAAAAGATGATTATACGAAGTTCTAAGGAATTTTGCAGAGGAGAGATAGGAGTAAGTTGGCAGAGGAGATGTTGCAGTACCTCAAGTCACTTGAGAAGAAAAGCCATAGTATCAATTGGTAACAATTTCAAATAAATTCGTGTTATTGTTGAATTTTATATCTGGGCTTTAACCGTTAACAAACACTCTTCGTACTCATGATGTTATAATATGTAGCACCATCTTCCTAAAACCCCGTTGATGAGTAAATCTAAAGTCTTCAATGTCGATAGAAACAAAGTGCAAATCTCTGAAGCACATTGACGATTTAATGATGACATAACTCGAGACGTCATGCTAGTTATACTCTCTGAAGACGAAACAAGACTTCTCTAAGTCAAGGAGTGCTTGTTCCTTTACACAATTTATTTATCAATAAACATTTGTACGAAATTTGCTCTTTGGCTTAATTATTTATACTTACAAGTACATAATTATCAGCATGAAGGAGGACGAAATATTGATAGCGTCGATCTCTCTCCTGGATAATGCCCAGAAATACAGAAGTACTCGTTGACGCGTGATTTAGTTGTTCGGCAAGCGGATGCTTCTCCGAATGTGTCATCTTGATAGCGTTCAGGCACCCTGAAGATTTGATATATATTAGATACACTGCAAAGTGACCTAATATAAACGTTTGATAGACTGTATGTCAACCGGTATCAATACCGATATGTCTACTAGTATCTGCTTTCATTTGTGATCAAAAAAATGTCCAAAAGTCTAATGCTGAGCTACTTGTTGCCATCTTCATTACCTTACTTGACTCCATATAACTTTCATTTTGCGTTGGAGCTATACACACCCGGACCAAACATACAATTACTGAGATCATTTTCTGAAATTCAACACATGCGCTCACAATTATCGTAGGCATCACTCAGTGGACGATTGGCGTTCTTCTCTTCTCTTGAATTAGATGAAAATTGCTGCCTTGGCCGGCTTGTCTTTCTTTAGACCACCTGGTGTCAGCTTTACCCTTGTATTTAACTTTGGTCAACGACGTGTAAGGTGCGCACATCAGGAACAACACGATGTCGCTCGGCCTTGGTTCTCCTGTGAAAGCATACAAATTGATCAATATTATCTGTTTCAGCTTCGTTAAGGAATTTCTCCTTCTTTTCGCGCTGCTGACGAATATATATATATTCCTCACTCGCCTCCGTCTCCGCATCGGCATTACTTTCTTCAATAGCTACTGATTTCTTTTTTGCCTCGATATCGCCTTCTTACTCAACAACGTGATCTAATGCTTCCATTCGTAAGCAACGATCTTCGTTATCCTGATCAGCGTATATTTCCTTCATTTTCGTCATCTTGTCTTTCTTACCACGTATATTAGTCGTCTGTACCCTCAGAGCAATGGACTTTTATGCTCCCATCTCTAGTTGAACAGATATATTTTTCATGTTTTGCCCTTCTTCAGGTCACGACGCTCTTTTGCAGACAATCACATCTTTCGTTCGTTATCAATTACTTTTTCCTTCAACGTCTGCAAAATTACTGTGCATTTATCTGTCATAGACATCACCTTTTCTGTAGAAT